ATAATAAAAGGAAAAGGGAAATTTCCCGAACGGTCACTCCTTTAAATCCGAAATAAATGCTGCCATTTGAAAAAGTTAAAGAATACTTTTTTTTTACAGTTTTGTTCTACGTGTCCTCACGAATATGAACAATTTGGATATTTAAAAAGTCAGAAAAAAAATCAACAATGATTAGTCTGGACCACACCTCATCTCACGATCTACGAATAATCTAATTAACTAACGGTCACTAAAAACCACATAAAAATCAACAACGTTGTGTATTCACCAAGACAATTTGTTTGCTAACTAATTTTATAAGTCATTTCTTCATCTAAATAACAAGCAAGAATTTCTTTTTTTCTTTTAAACCTACTGTTTGAAATAAAGACATATAAAAAAGCATAGAAAAGTTGATTAAATAATAAAAATAAAATTATAACCGAGGGAGGTGTTCTTTTAATTAAAACAACATTATTGCATTTTTCTCTCTGTCATCACTGATTCCGCTTAGTTTTCATTTTTGGATATTTTTCAATTTAAATAGTTGATGAGATGGCAGGGGTGTAATTTAATCAATAATTTAAATAACCGATATAACAGCGGCTTACATCAATTTCAAAGTAAGTATAAATGAAAAGTTTTAATGTTAGTCTGTAGAAATATAAAAGAATGAAAAAAAGCGAATCATGTAAATAGTCGATTATTAAACTTTAATACAAGGTGATTCACTATTCGTACGACAAAGTTCGTCAAGTGCTTCTAGATCTCAAATGCAACAAAAAAGTTCGAGTGAAGCATGGTCCGATTCTCAAACCTTTCGCAGATATTCCAATTTTTATTTTTTTAAACTATTTTTTTTAAACTATCTACGTGTTTCGTCATAAATCTACTCGTAGCTTTTGAATTATACATTTTTCGGTCAATCTAAAAAAAACAATGAAAATTTCCTTTAAGATCGTACATTTCTAGAACTTTCAATTTAATTTTAGTAAAAAAAAATAAAACAAACCGTAAATCTAAAAACTGTTCAATTTAAACTTTGTAAAAAATAATTTGCATTTGACATCTACATTAAACACAGACAAAACAAAAAATAAAACAACAATAAAGAAGTCGTAAAACCTAACTTTAACAAAAAAAAGAAGAATTCAACGTAAAAATCAAAGAACATACATAAAAAGAGGACAATAAACATAGCGAACAATCACAGCGGAAAGTGACAAAAGAAAAATAGATCAACAATGCAGAAGCTGTAAAACCCAACTTTAACTAACTTAAAAAAATTCAAACCAAACACAAATACATAAAAAAAGAGACAATAAACATAGCGAACTACCACAGCGGAAAAAATGGACAAAATATCTACACTAAACAGAGATAAAAGAAAAATAGATCAACATTGCAGAAGTTATAATAGCCAACTTTAACTTAATAAAAAAGCACTTAAAAAAATCAACGTAAAATTCAAACAAAACAAATAAAAAAAGACAATAAAATAGTAAACAACCAAAGCAGAAAAATGGAAAAAAGATTTACACTGAACACAGGCAACACAAAAAAATAGATCAGCAATTCAGAAGTTGTAAAACCCAACATTAACAAAGTACAAAAAAAGAGAAAAACCAACCAAAACACATAAAAAAAGAGATAAACATAGCGAACCATCAAAGGATGATAATTCAATGATACAACAACCGTAAATAGTTGAAAAAGAACATGGAATGTTAAATATCTACGACAGGGTTTAGAACCGGACTATGGCCCATACGAACTTTTTTGTTGAATTTGATTTGTAGAAGCACCTGGCGGACTTTGTCGCATGAGTAGTGAATAATCAATCACCCCACGTGATTAAAAAGACAGGAAATAGAGAATATTATCGAACAGCCTACCTGAAAAGTATGTGGTAAAGTTACTAGAGAAAAAACCAAACCGAATTAGAAACAGACATTAAAGTTTGCCGTTGTAAAGCTGAAAAGGAAATTTCGTTTCCCATTCTTGACAATTCCATTTAACGAAAAAGGAACACCATTATAAAACTCGGAGTGAAATAGGACCCGGGCATTTTCGACTCTCCCCGTATAATTTGGTTTTTCTTTGTAAAAATTCCCCGATTATTGGTTTTGATACTATTTCGGAAGGAAATGAGCCCGGAATGAAGTTAGCCGCTTTTTGCTTAAAACGAAGCGCCCTCCTCTCCCCCATTCACTGATGTAAAACTCAGATTATTACAGTCACGGAGAAACAATGAAAACGTGTTTAAAAGTAAAACATCTTCTCTTTTAGTTGAGATAATTTTCACTCTTATCAAACATTTAAAGACGAATTGACAGCTTGCATATATCGGGTTGTGATGCATTCACCCAGGCTCTGAAGATGACCCGAGTAAAGGTCGAAACGGAGGCAAAAAAATGAAAAAGATATTTTTTTAAATTACGTCATTCTTGAGCTCCTTACAACTTCAACAAATTAATAAACAACCGGTCATGAAAAAATACACACAAACTTATTTAATGTTTATCTCTCCACAGATTTTTAAGCAGTAAAATTTCTAATAAATATATTAAGTCAAAGTGAATGCTGTCATTATTAATTAATTACACAATAATAACAATACTTTAAAAATTTAAACACATAATAACACAATAATGTTACTCCCTCAATAACCCTTTCCTCCATGAGAAGATTATTTGACTGTAGGTCAACTATTTGCATTATTGGGGACCGCGGTAGCCGAGTGGTTAGCATGAGAGACTCTCACGCCGCGGTCGTGGGTTCGATTCCCACCGTTGCCTCTGGCCCTTTTTTCCCGATAACCCCCAATTTGAACACACAAGAATTCGTACTATGGTTAATATGCAAGATCATAAGGCCAATAAAAAAAAAATTGCATTATTGTTACGGTTTTTGAAATGTAGAACATATTTAATATTATCATTTAAAATTTTTTTAGTTGTAACCTACGTTGTGTAATAAAATAATCTAGTAGAATAATCTAGAGTAATAAAAAATCTAATTTTTTTGTGACACTTCATAAATATTTTTTATACACATCTTTTGCTAGCTCTTTCTTTCTGTCATTTTTTGTTACAATCATTAGATGTTTTTATACCTCTTCTTCACAGGCTCTCTCTCTCTCTCGCTCTCTCTCTTTGTGTCTCGTTTTAAATGTTGTAATATGGGTTAAGAAATAAACATTGATGAAACAATAATAGGTATCTATGAAAGATATATAACATAAAAACTTAAATGAAATCAACTTTGCTTCTATAAAATCATAGGANACTTTCTCTCTGTCTGTCTGTCTGTCTCTCTCTCTCTCTCTCTCTCTCTCTCTCTTTGTGTCTCGTTTTAAATGGTGTTATACTTGGCTCTTTGCTGGCTCTCTCTTTCTCTTTTTATTTATAACACTTTTTAAATATTTGTATACTTCTTCTTTCCTTTCACGCTCTCTCTCCTTTTGTGACAGTTTGAAATGTTTTTATACTTCTCCTTCTGACCCTTTTCCCTCTTTTTTATGTGATACTCTCTAAACACGATTTTTATTCTTCCTCTTGTCAGAAAGCTTCTCCACAAAGCTGGAATCATCTTATTTATGACTGCAATTCTCAGGAGAAATGGAGAGTGGATTCGATACAGGTAACCGGTGATTTCATAACTTCCAGTGGAATCGGTGACAAATGAGCGTTCTTAAAATTCGTTTCCAAAATCAAACCCAAAATTCCTGATTTATCTTTTGTTGTTATTACATACATATAACACTAAAAGTTATTGAAATGATTTATTAATTTGTTGTCATGTTATTTCAAAATAATTTATTGTTTTGTTATGGAGTAGATGATTTTATCATCAGTTCTGAGTTCATTGTTGTTCACGCAAAGTTATCAATATATTACACTATTCATCACAATACATTGCTATAAGAAAAACATGTAATCTATGAAAAGGGAACACACACATATATATATATATATATATATATATATATCCTCTCACAAGCTCACTCTCTCTCTCTCTCTCTCTCTCTCTCTCTATCCCTCTCTCTCTCTCCCCTTCTCTTTGTGACAATTTTTAAATGATTTTATATTTCGACTCTTTCTCTTTCTCTCTATTCTTCTCTCTATTATTTCGCTCTTTCTCAAACTCACTTTTTCTTTTTGTCACTTCTCTCTCTCTCTCTCTCTCTCTCTCTCTCTCTCTCTCTCTCCCCTTCTCTTTGTGACAATTTTTAAATGATTTTATATTTCGACTCTTTCTCTTTCTCTCTATTCTTCTCTCTTTTATTTCGCTCTTTCTCACACTCACTTTTTCTTTTTGTCACTTCTCTCTCTCTCGCTTTTGGCTCTCTTTCTCTTTCTTTTTCTCTCTCCCTCTCTCGTAAACATAAAACAAACAATAAAAATGACCGAAAATTAGATTTAAATGAAAATTTTTGTGATATGGGTAAGAAATAAACATTGATGAAACAATTATAGGTATCTATGAAAGATATATAACATAAAAACTTAAATGAAATCAACTTTGCTTCTATAAAATCATAGGAGGTTACAATGACACTCAATAGTGTCACCTCAAGAGCACTGGATAATATATCAATCACATTTTTAAAACTATGCAATAATACAAATAAAATAACCCTATATTATGCCACAATTTCAATAAATCTATTGCTCAAAAAGTATTTTCAAATCAAAGGAAATTATATTTTGTGTTACCTATCCCAATAAAACTTCAACCTGAAGTATTCATTTTTTATCGCTCAATTAATATACTTAGTGCAGTAGGTAAAATAATTGGCAAAATTGTATTAAAAGAAATTAATAATTTCATCAACAAAAATAACGTATTAGATTCCAATCAATCAGGCACGTAATAGTACACAAATCAGTACAGAAAACAGCCACTATTAAACTCCGAGATTGCATTAGAGAAAATGTTGATTTCAACAAGTAACTACTGTTTGTTTTATTGAACTAAGCCATGCTTTTGACCGTGTTCATCAAGACTAATTTACTGACTTGCAGAGACAGAAAGCGATTTCCAAACTCCAGTGTGACTCGACCGTCCTATAGAAGTTCTGAAGTGACTGCATGCAGTTCTCCCTTCTACACCTGGTGCTGCTGCAGTACTGCATGACCGATGTCAGGGCAGTCCGGCAGGCCGACTCGCGATTGCAGCTGTCCAGCGCTTCGTCGCAAGTGTTCTGGAAGCTTAGGGTCGTCTCCTCGTCGTGTTTAGAGCCCGATCCTATAACAACTCATGTTTAATATCCTTCCAAAGGCATCATCAATATAAATTCAAAAGCATTATACTTATACTTGTGTTAAACCTAAAACTTTATTTTTATACAGGATGTCGCTTTAAGTTTTCTTAACTACATAATTTGCTACACTTTTTTTTTTAAATATGAATTTGAGATAGTTCAATTAATAAAGAGCTTTCTTTTTAACTCCACAAGAATATAATCGTGCTTTCTTTAATCACTTGACATTGATTGACGTTGAAAAGCTTTCCAATAAGGTAAATAACATCGATAAAAGCCCATCAATATAAAACAGAAATAGGTTTGTTTCGTGAGAAATCCAATAATTTACAAGTTTGCAAAAAATTAAAATGGTGTTTAAAACGTAAAAATACTGTGAAAGAACCATGCTTTTAATAAACCATAAAATTATTTATTTGCGAACAAGAATTGCTAAGGAATTATGTATTACAAGAGGTCTTGTGCCTTTCGAGGGTGTTAGATTTGACAAGAAATATGTATTGTTGTATAAAGGGTCGTAAATATCGAGTATTATATAAATATATAAATATCGAGTCATAAAAAGAAAAGTTGATTAGTAGTAGTAGTTTTATCCATTAAAACATAAAAAAATATCGTAAAACAATAATTTCACTTCATTGATTTATTTTGTGTGAGCAATGATATATTCTCTATCCACGTAATTTTTTTTTGCCTTGTGCAACCGCACGTCAGCCATGCAGTCAATCCGGGATGGCTATGACCGGCGAGGAAAAGCCGCCGCGCCCCGGACAGCGACAGACCACGACCACGCAGCGGTATGGGCAGCCATGCCACGTCAATGGTGAATAAAATAAACAAATGATAACACATATACACAGAAGCACAGAGACAAAATGAAAACATGATAGTTCTGTTAGCATTCACACTACCCCAATGTTTTCGATATTCCTCGGGGTGATTGGGGATAAACCCTGCCATTCACGGAAAGAAAAACATTCGTACCAATAAATACATATTACATACTCTGTTCATTGTTTTTTTTTTAAAAAGATTATTAGATATCATATTGTAAAAAAAGACTTCTTCAAACTCAACATGGACTTAGCTGGGTGTCGGTTTATCAGACCAGACGAAAATAGAAAAAAAGTTGAGGCAAAAGAGGTTATATATTTTGATTTGTGAATCGCTATATATCAGTCTATTTGGGACAGGAGGGGGATAAGAAAATAACATTCAGGATTGTATGAAAACATAAATTTGAAAAGTTACAAAAAAGCAAAAGATGTTTTCAATAAAGTAAGCCATTAAACTATTTTTCAAAAACAAAAACAAACCGAATTCGATTTAAGAACATTACACAGTCATTTTAGTGCGAATTTTTATGGCATATTAAAAAGTTCAAATAAATTTAAGCTGTCTCAAAGTTGTCACCAAGGAGGAGAAAACTTTTGTAAAAAAGCTTATTTTTTTATTTTAACAAAAATTTGTATTCAGGGTTTTTTAGGATTAAAAAATGCCGATTTTGTTGTTTTCTAAAAAAACTATTTTAACTACTTTGTTAAGTCACACGGTAACTACTTTAAAATTGTATTGGGCAGCTAGTGGTATGAAAATAAAAATATATGAATACAAAAACCAAAAGACACTTTCAACAAAGTAGGCCAAAAGATATTTTTAAAAACAAGAACAAATCGAATTCCATTTAAGCACTTTTTATTGCCCTTAAGAACGAGTTTTTGTAGCGCATAATAAATAGGCATTTTTGACTTTGGTTTAGCCAGTGGCAATTTTTTCTCGGAGGTGTTCCGCTTAAAAATTTATAACTCTTCTTGATTTAGTACAAATTTTAGGTTATTAGAGCAGTAGAAAATTTTGATTATGCAAATCCAGTTGTCTGTATACAAACCCTGCTAGAACATTTATTTTAGTAAGAAATTATGGATATTATTTTTGTTTAACAATTTTGTAAACCAATTAGTATGTATTCCATGATTTGAGGGATAATAAATCCGTTTTCAGAACGAGAAAAATTGGAACCGCATAGAAAGGAGAAGTCTAGTCAATTTGCGTCGTTTCAAAATTGTCAGTGAAATTAGTTAAAAGTAGCAATAAAAATTAGTTTTTAATGTACAAGAATGAGTGTTGCAATTAACCTTATAGCTTTTTAAAGAGAACTGTCTGAACCCATTGACATTTTACTCCAGCGACAACTAAACGAGCTCCAGTAAATCATTGGGCTGATATTAGAAATTTTATTATGCCGACGAATATTTCAATAATTTCCCTCTTATGAAAGTTTCTTTTTAAATTAAGATATCAAAGGTTCATGAACAGAAAACTTCTTGACTAAATCTCTCTCAAAACCCACATTTGTATGCACGTATTAACTTTTAATTACGATTATGGCAACAGTGCTATATTATGTTATACATTGTGGTATTTTTTGTGAATTACATTATAAAAAATATTGTAATTACATACTTAAAAAGATGTACCGAGAGGTATATATACATATGTAGCTTTTCCGTCAAAGTAACCCCTTTCAATTTCAAATGAACCATTTTGAATACACATTAACCCTTTCTTTAAAGCATAAAAAACTTAAGAGTTGGTATGAAAAATAAATGTAAATAAAATTTATATTTACATGCTTATATTTCATATTATGCCTTCTTTTTTTAAACGAGGGTTTGCAACAGCAGAGGTTATTTCAACCCTCGGAGTGCCGGTGTTTTTGAAAAAAAGCCCATTTGTAAGTACGTCGGGTTCGAATGCAGGGCCACTGGATTCGAACCCGGGACCTTTACCTTACAGTGATGAGCGCCGTGTCAACGCCTAAACCGTTGCGGCCACCGACGCCCCCTCGATCTTTATTGAGAGATCATTTTCGGGGCTCAAATGTTTGTTTTCCGTGTAGATTTGTCATTGTTGTGCGTCGTGTTGAGAGTACACGATAAAGAAAATGTTTTTCTAAAACCTACGTCACATCAGACCGCATCTCACTATCTCCAAATAATCATTAAAAATGATATAAAATTAAATAGTAAAACCATCGATTCTTAATCTTTTTTGTTAAATTAACCTTTTTAAATTTCAAATTAATCTTTTTAACTTTAAACGTACCCATTTTAAATTCAATTTAACCATTCTTAAGTCCAAATTAGGCCACTTTACGTTCAAATCCAGCAAGTGTGCGTGTTTAGGGTTGATGGCGGAATATTTATAAAAGTACCTCATCGACCCTGATTTAGATTAGATTGTTAACATTGTATGTGTAAATCTATGGAGAAATATCGAGTAATCCACCGACTAATCAGAGTGCAATGTACATAGGTGTGAATGTTTTTATTTGTGCGATTGTATTATAGAAATTACTATTAGGCTAGAATATAATTTGGATGCGTAGGGGGTTGAAATGAGCTAGTCGAACGCCCCCGTTGGAGCTTAGCCCCGTTTGTTGGGAAGCGACGATCTCCTGACATCAGTCTTAAGAGTGATCCTAGCGACCCAGCCCCATAACGAGGTAGGTGAACGCCCCTAAGGTATAAACCCTAGGTTCAGCACATTGGGGAGTGACAACCCTTCGAGGTGAAAATCCAATTAAATAACAGCTTAATAATAATTACACTTTATGGTATTATATGGGATGGAAACTATTTCCGAAGAGGGCTGTTTTATTGCTGGCCTGAGATTGTAAGATTATTTCAAAGTTCCATGGCAATATGTGCAATATAATCTTCAGTTTAGAAATCACAGGTTGTAATTGGAAGGCTTATTTCCCGTTGGAATTCCACACATTTAAGACTATGTGGTTCTCAAGAGAATTTTGTTTTTGTGTGTGTGTGTATGAAATCAAACTAGAACGTACTGGGGAATAAATATCAGAAATGATGGTTTAAAAGTGAAATGAAAAACCTACTAATGATCTTTATTATCGCGTATAAAAAACGGTGATTCAAGTAAGATCTCTCTTGAGATGAAAACGTTCAGCAATAAAAATGTAACGAATAATAAATGTAAAATTGAAACGGTTTTACGAAATGACACGCGCACAATAAAAATTTGGGTGTTTAAAAACTATGTAACAATGAGTACAAAGGTTAAAAGTTAGGCCAGTTTGGATTACCCTTCGGAAACAATTTTCGTTGGAAAAGTGTTTGCGAGAGGAAGAAGGTTGGCAAAGGAGGTCGGGGGGTCGGCGGTTGAGGCGTGTAGAGTACGGGGGATTCGGTACAAAGTTTTGAGATAGAAAGGATAATCAAATGGTCCTCCCGCCTGTTGGGGCCGACAATTGAGTGTAGACTGGGATCCTTTGTTGGTAGAGATGTGGGGGTGGTGTGTTATCCTCAATTTAGTCTCGGGTCAAATTATTTCTTTTCCCCAGAGGACACGAGAGAAGGATGGCGGGCGGCCCGAGTTTTCGGGGGATAACACAAACCCCGGAGGCTCACCGTAATAAAATCATTTCCGCTAGGAACCGGAAAGAGATGTTTTTTCTCGACTCCGCGTTTCCAGATCAATTAATCCCCTCTGTCATTGGATTCTAGTCTCAAGGGTTGTGTTCAGCCTTATTATCGTCAGAATTGATGTTGATGATGATGGAATACTAGGAACCGGAGAGGTCCTTTTCTATATATATGGAGGTTATAATAGATTGGAGGTAAAGTGATGCGACGCAGGGTAAACGTTATGTTTTGGGCTAGTACTATATACGTCTTTTTTTCGCAACAGCAGAGGTCATAATATCAACCCTCGGCGTGATGATGTTTTTGAAAAAAAATAGCCTATTTGTAAGTATGTCGGGTACGAACGCAGGGCCGCTGGATTCGAACCCGGGACCTTTACCTTACATTGATGAGCGCCGTGTCAACGCCTAAACCATTACGGCCACTGACGCCCCGCTTATTGATTTTATTTTGTATGTTTTAGGTAGGAAGGGATAGGAGGTTTTAATTAATTAGACTGAGGGTTATGTTTTGGGATCCAATGAGTGTGTCTGGAG